TCGCTTGTTGCAGAGAGACACGTCGCATACCTTTGAGAGGTGTTGTTATTGTTGTCATTTGGAGAATCCCTTTGCAAATTCACCTCCGCAGAACGCGTAGAGCACGTAGACAGAGTATTTGTCGCCAGCGGGCTTTCAGGTTTCTCTCGAAAAGATATAAATTTCTCTAAAAAAGAAGTCTTCGCTCGATGTGCGCTCCCTCGCAAGCGCTCCTCTTCCTCCTCATTTGCATCTTCCTCCCCGGCGCCGTTTGCATGCACCGGTTTTGTGCCACTTACACCCGTTTCCGGCTTCTTGGCAGTACTCGTCTCCAGTTGGGTGTCTTTTGAAAAAGAAAACCAAAAGTTAAAAAGACGATCCATGTCGTTCTCGTCCAAAAACCGCCGCTGCTTCTCCAAATGGTGCTCAAGTCCTTGGTCGAAGGGATACGCCGTGCAGTTACGCATGCGCAGCGACGTCTCCACGTGAAACACCTCCACAAAGTCCTCACTGAGTTTCGATTCCTCATGCGCGCTGAGTCGACAGAACCCACGCAATGCGATGTCCCGCAAAGCAGCACTCACGCGACTGTTAGAGTTCAGGTCGTTGAGGGTCGAGGAGGCAAGTTGCACCCCGCGCGGAAGCTGCAGTTCCAAGTAGCCATCGGGGCCAACACGCACACACCCCGCGACACACTCAAGCGACGCAAGGATCGTGACAACAGCGTGGTCCTTCGCCTCGTCCGCTGCCGCTTCAAAAGCCTCAAGGTATTTGTTGAAATCCACGGCCATCAATTCAGGAATCGACTCTGAGAAGGGCACCTTTACAATGGGACCGTCGCGGGCAAGAAATCGCTCCAGTGCTAACCGCGCATCCGTGATCTTATTGAGCGTAGCAGATCCCTTCCTTCTCGTGCAGCCTTCACTCCGGACACGAGAAAACGGCAAAATGTCATCGTCCGTAGGAAATATTCTGATGGTTTTACGCCGCGGGCGCGCCGACTGCGGCATGAGGTGCTGTGCAGAGTACGCCGCCCGTGTCTTCGCGGTTTCAATCTCCCGCAGAAGTCTCGCATCACGCAGAGGAAACTGTCGCATTAGCGTGTTCAGTAGCTGCGTCAGCATTGCCACCTGTTCCACAGTCACCTCAAATGTGATGCCGTCAATTATTATATTCATCGCCCTGTGAAAAGGTGTCCGCATGGGCATTGGTCCAAAGTGCTGGATCGAGCTAATCTTAATTTCTCCCAGGCAAAGGAATGTCCCTTCCACAAGATTGTCTCCATCCTGTTCAAAAAAACGTCCAGTGATCGGAGTAGCTGTGATGGTCATGTCAGTTGAGGCGCACTGTTTGATGAGGGAAAAGTTGAATTTGGCACCGCAAAGATTCAACTTGGGTGAGTTCTCCCCGCCACTTCTTAGCGTGACGTCCATGTCTAAGATATTGAGATTCATGCTGAGTTCCTGAATAGCACAACGTGGTTCGTCCTTCTGCAAGTACGCATTAAACCTCCGACGCACGTTTTTCGGTACATCTAGTTTGGGCTGAATCTTAGAAAGTGGCCAAAAAAGCTCTTCGGGTCGGATTACACACTGCGAATCACCAAAGAGGTTATCGATCAACTCAAGAAAGGAGGAAATATGCGGAGACATCAGAAACCCACGCAGGCCGGTTAGTTGAATGTCCATGTGAAGATGATTGAGAAGCTTCGTTCGGCCTGTTGCAGGATCCACTGGTGTCTTATCCTGTGGCACCGTCTGGTTCGGTATGTACACATTCTGCAACCCCCTCAGAGAGACCTCATCGGCCCGTGCAAACGGCTCTGCGGTACCCACGAGTCTGTACAGCGGATGTGTCGGCGGGAGGCTCAAGCTCACATCAACATCCCGCAAGATCATCTCAAAGGGACGCTGCACCTCCGTTGACGCACTCAAAAAGTACGTGTCATTTGGCAGCGTAATAAACAAATGGCCCGTGCCGTTGATGTGAAAGCTCATAAAACTGTTGAGGGACTCGTCATTCAGGTCCTCGCTGAAGATGACGTTCTGTGGGTTGCAGTTCAAATGCAAGATAGCGGGAGCTGTAAAAAATAACTCAAACCGCTTCACATTTGGGCTGAACTCCGTCACGAACCGGCTGTACGTGTTGTAAATCTCCGTCGTCAGCGGCACGCCGTGGTACATCTCAGCCACAAACTGCCAATCCGTAATGAGGTCCATGAAGAATTCGACGTGGTCCATGTACCACCACACCTCCAGCTCGCCAAAGGAAGGCAGCACGTTCCATAGTTTCCGCCCCGTGTACACGCGATCATCTTCCCTGTCAATAAAGAGTTCAATCGTACTCATCCGCGCAAGCAACGTGCTCTCTTCTTGAATGCCGTTTGTAGCCAGTGACACATTTTTCCCTGAAAAGAGACTCTCAAACCACAGCTTATTCTCACCACTTAAAAGGAACTGCGGCTTTTGTATGTACTGCGACTCGCGGCCCAATGTCATTAGTATAACCCCCTTGCGTCCCGACTCACGAATGCCAAAGGGCGGCGAAGGGAAAGGTGCTTTTCGCTTAAACGGCAACGTCACACACGTGTCAGAAAGGAATTCCACAAGCAGCTCAAATCCAGCGAGCGGACGTGGTTTGCCGAGCTCAAAGTTCAATGACTCAAGCGGCTTATATGTGAACGGCAAAAAGAAGTTCTTTAACTCCATAAGCGAGTAGTGGGACCACGGGCCGTAGCAAATCTCAGGGACGTCAAGGAGCACCTCCAACCCCATGTGCGGTAGTTCCACCTCGCGGCTCACCTCTTCGCCCGCGTAAACATTTGTCACATCGCGATAGAAAACGATGTGTATGGTAGAGTTCTCCCTGCCGTTAAGGAGCATGCCGTAGTTACGAATGAGTGATGACGCCTCATCAATAACAGGGCCTTGCGTTTCATTTGAGGAAGTGCCCCTAACCATCATCATAAGGGATTTACCCCAGGTGTTCTTTTTCTCCTTGTGGAGAGGAATATTCCTGTCTTCCTTCTCCTTTTTCATGGGGCACCAGCGTGCATGCACCTCTTCCAGCGTCATTTCTGTAACAAAGCGGTAGAGGTCAATGCTGGGCATGCCATCCATCGTCAAGTAACTGTGGCACTCCCCACGCTTAAAGCCAAAGTGCAAAAAGTACGGGTGTGCAGCACCGGCCCCGCCAATATCGACGTAACTTGCGTACATCTCAACCTCCACGGCACCAATAAAGTCAAACAAACGCTGTACAATGCTCTTTGTGTTTTTCAAATTCTGCTGTTCCTCCAACGCCCTTGTCAACGACTCATCAGTGTAGGTTTGACTCCCATCCGAGTCACCACGTGTCAATATCCTCATACCTTCGTCCTCGTTTGATTGATTCCTATCCCGCGCCTTCAACAGACGACTAAGAAAACCTCTCATGGTCCAACCATGCAGAGAAGGACGATGCGTCACTTCGTGAGAATTTTCAGAAGCGGCTTCACTTGATGTCAAGTTTCTATAGTTCCATGTGGCATTATACAAGCAGAGGCCCAAGCCGTTCAGGTGCACACGGACTTTGCCACGGCACTGTGGAATCTGCACAATGTCTATATTGAATAACCTTGTGGAAGCGCCATCATTATCATGAACTTCGCCAGTATCTTGGTTTGATTCCCCTCGTTCGCATTGAACATCACGATCCCCTAGAGATGAAAAGATGGAATCTACATTTTGATGGACGGCGAATTGTGGGCCTTCCTGCCCCATTTGCGTCCACGGAGAAAAATCCCTGTCGTTGCTCTCGTCATGATTGCCGTGGGGAGCAACGTAGTCTGTGGAGAGAATCGTGTCTCCATTCACACCATCAACCTCCCTAAACGGTGCCACAGCGGCGCGATTGCCAACATCCAATTCAACGAACGGTGCATCCTCTGCCATCTCACTGCCATTTCCCTCGAGTCGCACCCGCACCGCCCGTTCCTCCCGCAGTACATCCACAATCACGCCCTGCACCCACTCCTTCTTCACCTTCACTCTGCAGCGCGCGCCCTTCAAATCATCGTTGAACATGAATTCCTTCACGACCGTCCATGACGGGTCCTCCAACCACGAGTCCCAGAAGCAAAAAGAGACGTACCCGTCCAAAAGACGAAGCGACAGGTTCTCATCCTGGTAAAAAAAGTCCTGAACAAATATGCGGCAACTCAGTGGGGCGATAAATATGCTGCCGAGACGCACACGCGTTGTTGACGACAAAATGCAGTACCGCAGAAACAGCTGGACGGCAAACCCCAATATTTTGTGCGTGTACAGCATCGTAAAGAGACAACACAAAAAAAAAAAAATGACGGAGAAGAGTAACTTAATGAAATCCGTCGCCTTAAAATCCATTGCGGCTTGTGTTCTTTGCTTCCACCTTACGTCACCTCTCCACCCCTCTCTCTTTGTCTTTTCTTTCCCCAGCTCGTGTGCGCTGATGACCGAGACGTTCCCCGGTAAGATGCTTAATGGTCCGCTACCTCCGTTATTGTACTTGGGGTAAAAATAATAATAATCACAACAAACCTCTGATAGTGGTAGAAAAAGATGATCCTACAAAAACAAAAACAAAAAAAAAGGATTTGACCAAATAAGCAAACAAATATAGCAGTAGGGTTAAGGCAGAGCTTACTGCGGTTGTGCTAGTTCACCCGCTTCCTTCTACTTCTTCAAATGACGTCTCTATAGAAAAAAAAAAATGCACACGTGTCGGGCACGCCCAAAACGGTGCCAAAGAAAAACTTCCCCCCCTTCACCTCCGTAAATATAAACCCCCTGTTCCTTTCAAATGCCTGGTGTGGGTATATATATATATATATATGTATGTATGTATGTGCGTATTCACCTCGGGGCAACGAGAGAAAAAGGGAGAGAAAGAGGGAGAGAAATAATAAAACCATAGCAATGCATAAAATAAACAACACCCACACATTGCACATGAAAGCAATTTCCATGAACTTCTCAGAGGTTTTAAGCAAAATAAAGTTCCTACAATTCGTCACTCTCGCTCTCTTCCACAGCAAAGCGATTCGCATTTGTATTTTTCACCACAAGCGCCTTCGCCTGGCGCACATCCTCCTGCACCTTTTCCGATTGCATGTCGGCAAAACGCCCCTGCAGTGTCTGGGGCTTCCCTGTCTTTTCCTCCATCGCGATCCGGGCTCGTTTGCGGTACGCAATCGAGTTGGGAAGGACACCCGTTCGTGCCAGCTGCGCCTTCGTCTCATACTCCGACTTTGTGAAGACACCCCCACGGCGCTGCACGCTGGAGTAAAACAGCATCTGCTGCTGCGACGGGCCCGAGACGGATGTCCTGACAACCGTGGCGGAGTGCTGCCCAGCCTGCGGCTGAGATGCCTGAAAGGGCGAAATGAAAGCGGCGGGAATCGTGCCATCATCCACGATGATTGGAGCCTTCGAGCGAGCGCCAGCGTGTCCCCTCGTCTTTGCGTGGGGCTGCCCGTGACGTGGCGGGCGGTCGTGGTGGGCGGTGCGATGATGGCTGTTGGTTCGGTGGTGTGGCCTGTTGCCTAAGACATTGTGCTTCACCATCGACAGAACTAATCTCACTGTACAGAAAAAGAAAAAGAAAAAAGAAAAAAAGACAACTGAGGCAACGTCGGCCCTCCCCGCAATTATTCACACGGCAGCAACAACGCAGTCCGCATGCACAAACCACACGTTCCCTACCACCGCCACTGCCGTCCTCGTTACGTGTTTCTGGTCGTTCTCTACATCACACCCAAAGGGAAGAAAAACTCACGGGCCACACACGCCCCCCACGATCCGCAGCTGCCGCCCCAACTCACTCCGTCGCCTGCTGCGCTGCCGGGGAGAGTCGAAAGCGGAGCAGTCTTGAGCCCCCCGAAGCCTCGTCCGCTTCCACCGCGTAGATCGTCTCCTCTTGTGAGTCCAGGGCGATGGCGCAAAGAGATGGGCACGTTGTGCGCACAATGCCGCTCACCTCGCCATCCCTCCCAATGACCGTAATGATGCCGCCAGCGCCCTCATTGGGTGAGGATGACGATGAAGATCCCTTCATGTCATACTGGGTCACAAAAATGGAGCCGTCACTTTTTCTAACGGCGATGGCGCTGGGGCCCATTCCCCCTTGCAGCTGCGCAAAGACACTTCCAATGTAGTACGTCCCTCGAAGCACAAATCGAAGCACGCGGTTAGTGCCCTGCTCGCAGACATACACGCTTTTGTCGCTTGTCACGGCAATTCCCGTCGGGCGTATGAGACCACGACGACAGAGTGGAACAACTTGGCTGTGCCCCTGCAGAGTGCGGAAAACGGCTCCCACCGGGTCGGCAAACGACGAGTCGCCCTCTGCCCCGGCGTCGGTAAAAAACAACTCACCGTCCGGTGCGACGGCGAGAGCTGTCGGTCCCACAAACTGTCTATTTTCAAAGCTGTTCAGGTAGCGCACAACAGTGTAATCCACCTCACCACGATCATTGTCACACTTCTCGTCCTTCTCAACATGCCCCTTGGAATTTGGTACCGCCTCCAGCTTCAGGATGGCGTTCTCACTGCGGTCGGTGAGGTATACATCACCGTTGCGGGGATCGATGGCGAGAGCATGTGGCGAAGTCTCCGTCGCCATGATGGGAATCATCGTGCCGTTCGTCTTGTTGAGACGAAGCAGCTCTCCGCTGCACGCGCATACGGCAAATACGTCGTCGTTTGCATCTAACGCCAGGCCTGTCAAGAGACGGCCCGGAAGCTCGGCAACAAGTTCCATTATAAAATGATAATCTGAGGAGTTATGCTTACAGCCACGACCCTCCACCGTCCCTGATGCTGGCAATGACGATAACTCCTTCACAAATACCCTTTTGTTGTTGTTGTTGTTCTTCACATCAAAGGAGAAAAGAACACGCATACATACATCCACACAAACAAAAAAGAGAGAGAGAATGAAAGAGAGACGAATCTCAAAAAAATCAGAAAGGGGTCAATCACCCCTACAGTCAAAAAGTTTCTTCTCTCCATGCTCACTACCCCGCACAACCAGCCTTGCACGCACAGGCAAATACAAAAAAATAAAAAACTAAACGCAGCAGTTTGTTCCTTAACAACAATGTTAGAGTCGCCTTCTTCGCACACACACACACACACACACTCACATCTGGATTCTCTCTCCATTATTCTCAGCACAATTTCCAGCCATCCTGCAGGAATTCAACACGGTCATTAGAGTAATCGGTGACATCTTCACCAACGTCGCTAAGATCCTCAAGTAGTTGCCGCATCTCCTCGACTGTGGTACTTGGAGCACTCTGTTGAACCCCATGTCCAGACGTCGCGTTGTCCTCCTCACCCTCTGTTTCTTCCTCCATGAGGTGCACATGACGCTCCTGCTCCACCCAGTAGTGGTGAAACAAAAACTGCAGCACAAGCCCACACACCCAGCGAAGCTCAGACAGAAGTGGCAGGGCACCGTGCGCCACACGTTGCCGCACCTCCACCGCCTCCTCGGGAAAGCCAATCAGTCGAGCCCGCTTCCTGTAAGTGTCCGCCGCCCCACGAGCAAAACTGCCTGTCATGAGATGCACCGCACGTGATATCGCCGCACCATAAAAAGAAACGGCACCCAAAGACGAAAGCTGATCTCCTTCGTCAAGTGAAAAAGCCTCCATCAGAAGCGCTGTGGCCTCCGCATACGCCGGAAGCTGCCGGTTTTTACGCTCACGTGCCTTCCACACAAGTTGGATGCGGTTCAATGCCTCGCGCCTAGCTTCTGTCAGGCCTGTCCCGTCCTGAGGATCAAATAGCATTCGTTTCACACGCTTCCACTCATCCCACCCGTGTCCAAACGCACTCGGCGCTGAGCGGGAAAGGGACAAAAAGGGTGCAGTAGAAAAGGCAAACTCCCCTTCCGCCGACGCAGCACCCACCGCCTTCGTGTTTGAAACGTCGGCACGGATCCTTCCAGAGGTGCCTGTAGGCGCAACAGCGTCCAAATCGCCCAGTTCTCCCAGTCCACTTTTGATGCAAGTTCCCCTTTTGCGCTTCTCGTTGGGTGAATTCTGCCACGCCCGGCTGCGTTTCCTCACCATATTTGTGGGCATGTAGATATATATATGCATATAGATATGTGTGTGTGTGTCAGTGCCCACTCCGCTCCCTTTTGTGATGGGCCGGCAGAAAAAAAAAAAAGTGAAGAGTGTTGTATTGACCAATCGCAAAAACAAAAACAAAAAATCAATTCTTAATAAAACAGCGGATTCTATGAAACGCAGAGGACAAGAAGACCAAATAAAATCCACAAGAAGAGACCCACTCAGCCACGCGCAAAGGAGAAGACCCCAGTGCACTGCAAGGCAACTCATATTTTTCTTTTTACCAAAGCAAAAGCCTTCACGTGCATCCAACCAATACAGAAGTACATTTTATCCTCACACTGCACCTGCCGCGGAATTTGTGTTCCGCTGTTGGTTCTTAAAGGCACGCATGCTGAGATCATACGTCGCGAATATTGCAGCATTGGATGGAAAGGAGCGAACAGCAGTGAGAGACCATCCACAATACAGAGCACGCATGCCGCCCTCGGCATACAACACGCGCAGCGCCTTTCCAAAACTCCATTGTGAAAAAACGGGGTCTACCTGCATACGAGTCTTAACAACATCTGCAGGGAAAAAGACAGTCCAAAAAGCCACACCGCTGCAGCCTCCAGCAAACATAAGCCGCCATGGCGACAACTCCGCTGTCGAACCTCCTAAGGGCGTCAGAAATTCCTTCACCTTGTCGTATGTGCCACAGTAGGCAGCAGTACCTGGCACCTCACGGGCCAACATCGCAACACCGCCTTTGTACAGCGCCGTCACGCCACCCCGACGCAAAATTTTAACCGTGCAGTCTGTGACGCCATGGTACTCCCGCTGGCCTGCCGGCAACATGTTTGCCACCTGCAAGTGGCACTTGACAAGCTCCAGTGGTGTTAAAAATACCGTTGACGCCACACCACCGCCAACGCCACCAAGAAATATTTGCCAAGCAAGCGGATGATATTCATCCGCACCCACCCGTCGCAGGGTCCACTTGTAAAAGGAGAAAACAACAGCGTGCTCAAAACCGGAGCCCACAAAGCGTGTTGAAACCCCATGGTAAAAAGAAAGTATGCCCTCGTTCTTCAAAAGCCTTGCTGCACAATCCCAATATCCCCTGTAGAGTGAGCCGTAAGCCTGCAGACGGACCTTGATCGTGTCAAGCGGGTACTCCAGAAGTACTCCCACCACTCCAGAAAATGTTCCAGCAACAAACGTGTGGAAGTACTCTTCTGCCATTCGCGCACGGCAGCAATCCGTCCACCACTACAAAAAATAAAATAAAATAAAATAAACGGGAAGACGTATGAAGCAACAGCGGCATCGCCCAAAAAAAAAAAAAAAAAAAAAAGACCACTTTTGTAAGACATTTTTTGTTCTCGTATAATTTTCAACAAGATATGATGCCATTCACCTTTTTTTTTTTTTTTTTTCAGTGTTCCTTCGTGCGTCCCCGCATGTTTCGCCCCCCACATGCCTGGCGCCACGTCACCTTCAAGTTCTCTTCGTACTCGGATGCAACAAACTGTGACCCGTGCCTCTCCCACTCCGCGGAGTCCATCAAGCTGTTCCTCGGTGCTTCCTACGCCACCGTCATGTCAACTTCCTTTTCCTTCCGAAAGCGAGGGGCAACGACGGCTGCGGCAGGCCTCGTGCTGGACTCCTTCGCCAAACCGCGGCCAAAACAAAACCCCCGTCACTTTTCGTATGCGTCTTCGCGACAAAACGCAAATGCGTCACTAAAGAGACAAAAACAAGTTTGAATTTCCTCCACTAGAAACAGCCACTTTTAAAAGCAAAGAATGAGACAAGGACGTCACCTCCACCAAGCACCTCCCCCTGTTCGCTGTTTTTTCATGAAGAAGAAGGCGGGCGGTGGAGCCTTATTGCCGTGATGTACTTGCACGGCTGATTAAAGCTAAAAAATAAAAAATAAAAAAATAAAAAAAACGGCAACACAAATGGGAGAACTCACAAAAAATGTGCGTGCCAGCGATGCCACACACGCGTGCGCCAAAAACCAATCAAAAGACGCAATTTCATAACTTACTTATTTCTCAAAACAAAAACAAAAAAAAAAATACATATGTCATTTGATCCACTGTTAGCACGCCACGCATTCATTTTTATTGGCTTATTGCATAAAGCGCGTGTGTTCTTTTGAGCGATAAGGCTTTTTGTTTCTCTCCTTCCTTTTTTTTTTTTTTTTTTCTTTTTTTCCCTTCAATCCGACCTGCCTTTTTTGCGGTGGAAGGAGTTTACATGTGGGAATGCACACAGAAATGTTTTTTTTTTTTTTCTCCTCCTCCATGCATTCATTTGAGAGCCGCGTCCCCGCACTTTGGGGAGCGGAGGCATGTCAACTCCAACGCTGAGGGGAAAGGCCCAAATGTTCTAATGAAAAAGAAAAAAAAAAAAAATAGAAGAAAAAAAAATTATTCTTTGCTCCTTTATTTTTATTTTTATTTTATTTATTCCCTTTTCCCCCGCCCTTCCGTTTTACCAATTCAAAATATATTTCTGGACTCCTTTTTTTTTTTTTCTTTTTTTTTTTTTTTTACATCGACACATCCCATCATTTCCCCCTTTTGCTTTTTTTCCTCTTTTTCTCCTCCCCCACATCTTACACTGCTCCTTGCGGCTGTTGCTTTTACTCCCTTCTTACTCACTCAGTGAGAGTGAGCCGCAGGAGAAGAAAGAGAATAGACAAAAAAAATATATATATATATTTAAATAAAGAGTTCAGTCGACGGCACACACAAAAACCGTCATCGCACACGTGTCACATGACGGTGCATCCACCACTCGACCCACCACCCGCCGCACTGCGTCCCTTGTACTTTGCAAGCCACTGCATCTGCGTTTGGTTGATGGCACCCCGCCGCTTCTCGCGGACGAGTGTAATGGCGTCAAGAGGCTCCATGCCGCCGTACTCCACAAGCGCCACAGCCACAAGTATGGGCGCACGGCCAAGACCAGCCACGCAATGAATGGCAATAGACGCGGGCTGCGTGGAGGCACCAGAAAGCAGCCTCTCCTTCTCCTTGTCGAGGAGTTGGAACCAATTCTCTAGCACCGACTTTGGCGGCGCAGCCCCGTCGTCAAAAGGCCAGCTGTGTACATCAATCCCGTTCTTCTCCAGCTGTGTGGCGTCGTACGTCAGACCGCAAACCCGCACGAGATGACGCACGTGACGCCTTTGAAGTGCCTTGATGTACGTGGGAAAGTTACTGGGTGACGGGGCATCCAAAATCAGCAGATTAAACAAAGTTCTCGAGACGTCCTTTCTATCCTTGCACTCAATCAATGTGCAGTTGACGTCCATTGCCGCTGAAAAGTCGTATTTCTTTTACACCAAAAAAGGAGAAAAAAAGATATACGCGCCGTCGTCAAAGGAAGGCGGAGCTGCGGGAGGGGGCAAATGAACGAAGACCGGATCAACACAACACCACCTTCAGTGCAGCCAAAACGTCTTCTAACAACAAAAATAAAAACTTAAGCTATAGATAAAAAGAACAAAAAAAAAAATTGTGGAAGTCACGTTCTTCAGTCCACCAGCCTTTTACCTTGTTTCCTACACGTGAGGCTTTCCTATACTTCTTCTATTGCGGTGAAATTGTTGCCGGCACAAACATCCCAAGCAAGCAGGAAAAGGTCAAAAAGGAGGTATATATATATACACATAAACGCAACGTGCATACGTGTATGAGATGGCACCATTCCTTTCATGCGTCACCATGTATGCAAAAAAGAGACCGTAAGAAATATCATTCCTCACCCAGTGGCGGCTTCCAGCGTCCCCAGAAAGCGGAAATGTACCGCTACCAGCCACGGCTGCTGCTAATGCGTTCTTCTCCATGCGGCGTGGTGGTATTCTGCTCCACCTCCGTTGCCCTCTCGCCATCAGCTCGCGGGCATTCTTCACACGCCCATTTGGCGTCACCCCCGCCTTTCCGTTCTCCACCATGTTATTCACTATTTGTTGCTTTTTCACAAGGAGGGGCCCACAGCTTGGGCGTGTCACCGTAACTTACCGTTTGCGGCGGTAATATTTACAAACCCCGACGCCGGTGATGAATAAAACCTTTTTGTGCCCCACGCGGCGCGTGCAAATCACCCTCACCGTGTCCGTCTCCTTTTGTGTTGGCACCAATCGCCCATACGCGTGCAACCCAAAGACACACACACACACACATGATTGCTGCTTCTCAAACAAATTCCTTTCCGTTTCTGAAATGTAAAAACACAAAAACTTACGCAACAATTATTCTCTCATGTGACACAACCACCTCTTCCCTTGTATTGGTAGCGGATTCTTGCACCACTTTTGCCTCCCAAAGAATTTCCCCCTCTTCCTCCCCATATACACCGCCGCCACCGCATCTCATTCCCTATGAAAACACTAGAGAGACTCAGTTTTGCCCCAAAACTAACCGCCGTGACATATCCATGTATCTGCGTGTCTGTCTCTCTGTGTGTGTGTCTGTGTCTGTGTGTATACATATATGTATACTGGCACCGCCGAGTTTATAATACAAAGCTCGAAAGGTTATAAGACCATCGCCTCCTCAAAAAAAAATAAAAAATAAAAAATGCCAACACCTCCCGCCAAATCTTTTTTTTTACGTTTGTTTGTTTTTTATGTTTGCTTGTTTTTGTTTTTTTTTTTTTTTTTTTTTTTTTTTATTTTCGTTGTTCATGACTTATTTTTGCTTTCATGTTTTGTTTGCTGTCAGATAGGGAGTTGCGGCATTGATCCACAACTGGGCACTGCAAAAGGAGGTGACGCAGCTCTCCCCTTCCCCTCCCAAAAAAAAAAAGAAAAAAAAATGACGATACATCACACAGAGAAAAAATTTTATTTATTTATTTATTTATTTATTTATATTTTTTTTTTCTTTTAGAAGAACTATTTCCACTGTCTCATTGCTTTACATCAAAGTTATCCCACACTTACATCAACGTGCATCTCGCGCAGATCAAAGACCCCTCATTACTCTCCTGATGACGCGGTTTATAACGCATAAGCCAGTTGAGCTGCACCTGATTGATGGCGCCTTTGCGCCGCCCTCGCACGTAACCCACCGCATCGAGTGGCGGCATTCCGCCGTACTCCACAAGTGCCAGCGCAACCAAAATGGGTGCTCGGCCAAGTCCAGAAACGCAGTGGACGGCAATCGTCTCTGGGGGTGACTTGTTCTTCTCCTGTTCGAGCAAATTCAGCCAATTGTCAATGACGGTCTGCGTTGGTGAGGCACCGTCGTCAAAGCTCCAGCCGTGCACCACTATTCCCTGCTTTTCAAATACCTCCGCATTGTACGTTGGGCCACATGCCCGCACAATGTGCATCACGTTGTGCCGTTGAAGCAATTTCATATACGCAGGCACGCTGCTGGGCGACGGGGCGTCGATGATGAGGAAACGGAAAACAACAGCGTCCGACTCCCCGCGTTTGCACTCCACCAGCGTGCCGTTGGCCTCCATGACGTCTAAACACACACACACACACAAAAAAAAAAAAAAAGCCGAACAAATAAATAAAATAAAACAATTCGTAATAAATATATAAAAAACAAAACAGGAATAAAAAAAAGCATCAAAATAAAACAAAATACTTTTAACCCTCCCCCCTTTCTCTCTTTCCCTCCCACACACATACACATCAGTCAATCATTAAAACCAAATAAATCATTGATCCTCATGCGCATGAAATGCTGACACTCCTGGTAGCATACGTTTGTATGGTGTTATATACATATATATATATATAACCTCAAACTGTGTGCGCGGTAAAAATAAATAAATAAATAAATAAATAACTTGCCGAAAAGGTCCTCATAAATAAACAATGAGCATTGCGTTAAAATAGTCCAAACCATCAAAACACAGACGCACACGTAAGAAATAAGAAGAAAAAAAGAGAACCCCTAAAATTTAAAGCGGCATAAAAAAAAAAAAAACTTTAAGGCTAAATTCCTCATGACTATCCTTTAAATCATTACGCCAAAATCATTTACACGTCCACAACCTCATCTCATCCCCCTACTCCCCCCCTTCGCACAGACAACCACACAGGAAGAAAGAGACGACAAGGTTGCAGGCGAACGGCACCGCCCCCACACCACCATTTCGTCAGAAGACCATTCATACACTCCGCACATCCACTTCAGTGGAGTTATGGAAGTGAGGCGGCATTCCCCGCCGTGACAAGACCCCTCCTTCTCTTCCTCGCTCGCCGGGTCCCACCTGAATCACGGCCTTGGGAAACACAACGCCCCGTTTATTCCGACAGGTCACCTCCGTCCTGAGCATGTTGACTGCAGTCAGCATGCTCTTCCAATCGGTTTTGCTCCGCTGCAAAAAGCAAAAGGAAAAAAATGACACGCTCTTCTTGCATGAGAGCAGTTGTCCTGAGCGCAATAGCAGAGCAGCCAGAAGGCAAACACACACACACGCACACGCACACACACACATAAAAAACAATATATATTTACGACGTTGTAATAACTCAGGAGCTGCGGTAAATTTGTTGAGTCCCGCAGTCAATGCCGTGCGGGTCTTCACATAGTATTCTTTTCCTATTTCGAAATTTGTATTGCCACACACATCTAGTTTATTATCCGCACTTTCACCACGGGGTTTCCCACTACCAGTCCCATCTTACTCATCCTCCGTAACTCGTCCTCTTTCGGACGCGCTGCCACCTTTAATGCAGAGTCTTTGTGGAAAAGAACCCAATGCACGTCCCATGTTGCGTCAATCCAAAATTCTTTCCCCACAACAGACGGCCACGGGGCATCGATAATGCGGACACGTTTGCCGTGAACTCCGCGGAAGATATCATTTAGCTTGAATCGGCCCATCATCGGTGTAGCCGGTGTTGCCTCCGAGATTGGCTGGCAGTACAAATGTGACATTTCCAACTCCCTCTGGACCGCAGGAGAAGCAGCGGTAGGGCCGGTGGATGCACGCCCCGCAGCAACAGAAGCAAACAAAGAAAGCACCAACAGCAGCCACAATGTTCGATTCATGTGTCAAAGCCAGGCAACAGTCCTACAAATAAATAAATAAATAAATAAATACCCTTTTTTTAAAAAAAAAAAAAAAAATATTAATAATAATAAATATTTCTTCCCAACCTCCTCTTACAAACCAAACAAAAAAAAAGGAAGAAAAGGATGAAGCCTACAAAAGGATTACTAAAAAAGGCACATGACACATAAAAAACAATGCGGCAACCAAAAAAAAAGAAAAAAAAAAAAAAAAGCGGCACCCATCAATGTTGTAAAGCAGTAAACAAATAATAATAAAAATATGTAGAAAAAAAAAAAAAGAAGAACAACAAAATACAACCACACAAAATATATATATATATATATATATATACGGTTCGTAAAATATAACTCATACAAAACACCACATAAATAAATAAATAAATATAGTTATATATATATATATAGTGTGTCTGTGTCTGTGTCTGTGTCTGTGTGTGTGTGTGTGTCAAATAAAATTGCTGGTTTGAAATATAACTCGCATATAATAATTATAAATGAGATTTCTGGACGCAATGATATGCTCGTGTATGTGCATGTAACCAATTTACACCTGCCAAAACCATTTGCCTTCATTGCTCAAAACTTCATAGTTATACAATCTTATTTTTCATCCCCCATGCCTCTGAAGAAAATTCAGAACCCGTTCCTCGTACTCCTCCTTGTGTGTATTGTACAAACCACAATGAAAGGCATCCTCAGAGATGTACAACTCCTTTGGCTCCAGTGCAGCTTCGTAAAGTTGCAATGAATGACGGTACGGAACCAATTCATCCGCAGTACCGTGCATCAACAAGATGGGCCGTGGGGCAATCTTCCCAATACAGTGCAGTGCTTGGCAGTGTTTGGTAGGCTTATTGCCTATACGTATATTCAACCAGAGTGACGATGTACGGCGGAATAATTTTAATACAAATTTGCTGTACGTCCGTCGTGAAAAATAACCCCCAATCATCTCAACAATCTTCTGATCCTGAAGCGTCGCACATGTAAGCAGCGCATTTTCTGCAATAATGACATCAATCGTCTTATCAATGGCGGCTGCCATAATGACAGAAGACCCGCCAACACTCGTCCCTACGGCACATATTCGCTCATATTTATATGTATGTCGCATGAACTGGCACGCCGCCACCACGTCAAATCGTTCCTTCATACCATACGTAAACCCTCGCATATTTCCATCACTAAGACCATGTTCACGGAAGTCAAATAACAGACATCCGTATCCTTCCTTGTGCAAGAACGGCACGTGACGAAGCCACGCACGTCGATCTCTGCCACCGCCATGCACAAGTACAATGCCCATCTTTCGTCTGTTCGCTGCAGGAGGTGGAACATACCACCCGCGTAGCGTGTAACGATCCGTGGAGGTAAATGAGACGTCTTCATACTCAAGCCCAAAATCTCTCTTTGGATCATGGCAGTATCCGTTCCAATAATCCGGACAATTATGCATCGTTAGCTTCGTGGATTTTGGATGATGGTGATACCACGGCGGGCGAATGGCAATCTCCGACACAAAGTAGCCAAGACTCACAAAATAGAAAGTCAAAGTCACTGTGATAAATTGTAGTGCAAAAAAAGAGCCATTGATAAAAATAAGGATAACAAATGGAAGTAAAAGACATATAACCGCTTTCCGAAGAACACGCGGGTTCACCATCTCAGCGCTCTCTACATCGTTGTCCCTGTATACATTTTCTTCCTCTTTCCTTTCTTCATCGTCCCTTCCACTTCTTTCCAATGTCTTGGCTTCCTTCAATGATAAAAAAAGTGCCAATTGACTCTGAATATCCGGTGGGGCCACTTGAACTGCTGTTTTGCCATTCTTATCAAGAATACAGGCATCAACTGAGTGAAAATAGCTAAGCAACTTCTTAATAAATGTCATACGGCCGTGTGCTGCGGCAATGTGAAGGGCTGTGCGTCCTTGATCATCCAAGGCGTTGACATCGATGTCGCGTCTTCTAGAAAGGTTTTTTAGCACCCACACATCACCAACCTCCGCAGCCGCATGCAACTCTGTCATGGATGGAGTACAATAAAACCAATCCCCTCCCCCTCTTCCCCTTTGCTTCACTATTATTTACTGATTTATTGATTTATTTGGTTAGTTCGTTTGCCTTTTTTATATATAAAATGAAAAATGGCGTTCAAAACACACAAAACAAAACTCTTCTCTCTCTCTCTCTTTGGCAGTAATGAGAAACAATCGACTGTAGACAAATGAACGCTATTTGTATTCCGTTGAATACTTCTTTTTTTTTTTTTTTTTTTTGTGTCTGTGTGTGTATATGCGTGTTAACTATTGTTCCCTACTAGCCTTTTTGAGCAGCCGCGATAAATTAAGGCAAATAAAAAAGCGAAAGAAAAAAAAAAGTGGAAAAAGACATCACAAACACGTACAGAAAGAAATTCACACCATTCATTCCATCTGTCCCCTTCCCCAACCCTAACCCTTGTCGTTACTTCGCAGTTCTTCACTCAATATCAGTGAATGCATGACAAAATGTGTCCTCCGCGATGATGGCACGGCCGTTTTTTATTTTTTTGTTTTTTGTTTTTCATCCGCCAAGCCAGCGTTGGTAATTCCCCCACCCCCCACGCAGAGATAAATAAAAATGTGCGCACAAGATTTGTGTGATAAGACCAAGACGCCTCCGGAAGAGTAAAACTCACACAAACCATGCGCTTCGACGGCGCCACATCCCGCACCATGTGCATTGCCTCCAGGTTTTCCCCCGCCAAGCTGAAGGCGCAGACACCGCTCCACCTGCTTGACGGCATCACCCAAAAAGTCATCCATATTCTTTGAAATGCAGTACACATAAGAGAGGACTCGCCTGCGTGGATGCATCTCCACTTTTTCCCTCTTTTTCTTTTCTTTCTTTATTCTTCTCCTTCTCCTCCAATGATGATAACGACGCCAGCGGTTGTGACCAGGGCGGCTTGGTGAATACATCCATAAACTCCACCGCAATGGCTGGAATATTCATCGTCACGTGGCGTCGACCACACACCGCCGCCCCATTCATTACGTTACGGTAGAAAACTGTATTCAGGAACTCACGGCCGTCCATGTTGAACACATGAAACGTGACTTTTTTTTTTTTTGGTGCGGCTGAGCTCCGCATTGACGCGCATATATTCCACTTCAACAGGGTTCGGAAAATCCGCGTGGCTTTTTAACGCAAGCCACGGCAGCGGGTATGGCGAAGGGCACACACAACACCTGCCAAGACTTTATTAGAGCATATCCCCGCTCTGCATCATGCCAACAACCCGCGTGTGCTCGTGGACAAGTCGCGAGTTCCAATACATGCAATTTTACAAAACAAGAGAGATGCAGCCATTCTGTCGTACAGCCACCAGCAGAAGGCGGTGCAGTTCCTCCTCGTCTCCCCCATTTTCTTCCACCGGACTTCCCTTCATGTCGGAGTGGGTGGTGCACCTCGCAATGAGTTCCATCTTGAACTCTCAAAACACGCTTGCGACGCTCTCTCCACGTTGTTCACAACGACACGCACGGTGGGGTTGCAGAGGCGCTGACGTGCGCTGTGTGATGGGCCACCGCTAAACGAAGACGCCGCGCGACAGACCGTTTTCCCAGCAGAAGTGTCTGCAGTTGTCTCCACTCAAATGGGCTGTGTTTATACCGTCAAGACTCTCGTTGGAAAAAAGACAATAGGGAAGAAATTCTTTGAGGGTCTAGCAAGCAACAGTTTTTGTGTGCCTCACTGGAGTGCAAAACTGCCTGTGAGGCATCCATCACGTTACGCACCTTCTCCCACCTACGCGGCGCCCATTGATATGAGCGTCTCAAGCGATGGGAACAACATCTCCCGCAGTAATTGATCCGCGTGCTGCATGTACTTCATGGACTGCAAGTACACCATCTCAAACGCTAGCCGGCGCCTCGTGAGCTCAAGCATCAACTGTTCAGTCTCTGTGAGCGGCAATGCAGCATCACAGCCCGCTGCCTCTTCACACCGCGTTGTCAGCTCCCACATCAGCGAACGCACAAAAGTGGCCTTTTCGGTTTTTGTGGAAAGTTGTCGCTGAAGTGTGCTTCTCCATGCCCTATTTCTTGCCAGCGGTGATAAAACCCCAGCCACCTCACGGCCTCGTCGGTCTACAAGTGACTGCATTCGAAGCGCATCAAAAATGCTCTCCAAATTCGACCTTCCCCAACATTTGTGGGCAATCTGCGTGATGGCACCAGGTCCCAGTGCCGGGAACCACTCCACGATGAGCCGTGACACATCGCTCTTAAACAGACGCTCCCCGCTGTGCGCCAACTCGGGGGGGACGCTGCCATGAAACACCGTCAATACCGGCTTCCCCCCGCACAAGCCACCGTCACTCAAGTAAATAAGCATCGACTCCAGTGAGGCACGTCGCAAGGCATCCTGCTCCGTATGCATATTACCTTCGCCTACTGCCTGCATGAGTTTTGGAAACAACACCGCCGCATCATCCAAAACAGCATGTGGTGAATACAAGAGCCTCTGATGTTCTCCATGCACCCCGCGAGGAAATGCGGCTGCAAGAAACAAAAAAAGTTGATGGTTGTGGTGCTCACGGTCAGATAGATGGCCGACCGCGGAAGTTCCTAGGGGCTCGCGGCACAAATGACACCATGTGCCGCCAGGATCCAAAAAGAGATGCTTGTTTGGTGCGTCAAAGATGCGGTTCTGAAGCCAACAGGGATGGCCGTCCTGTGCAAAGGTGCTGCGACACATCGGGCTGCTGCCACGCAGCCCCACACGCAGATTGTTCTTTCCATTCGACGAGGTGCAAGAGGAAAGCAAAGAAATGGCTGTGGCACCGGTGCTCTGCGAGGCCAACTCGGCCAAAAACGTCCTCTCTGCCTTAGAACGCCGCGGCCGCATCGACGAGTCCCGCTGACCGTTCCTAGACGCAACAAGAAAAACCGCGAAAAGAAAGCAAAATACATAAATATATAAATATATATATACACCACGGCATACACGTAAACATCACACAACAGCGGCAGGATACCGCCTCTCTCTCTCTCTTCTCTCATGGATTAAAAAAAAAAACAGTTATTATCCAAGGCCAATTCATGTCTACACACACAGGCAAATAAATAAACAAGCACACAAACAAACCGGCCTGATTATCCAAAAAAAAAAAAAAAATGAGATCTATTTAAATAAATAAATGCAGACCCCACATCAAGGAACTTAAGAAAAAAAAAAAAAAAAAAAACAAGGGAAACAATATGGGTTACAAGCAAAAAAAAAAAGAAAAATACCCAAGAAAAGAACACACACACACAAACAAACAAAAAACTACTATTACTAGCGCTATCTCATGTCCCTAAAGAATAGATAAAAGGAAAATCAATTTCCTTTTGACTCGATGATGCTACAACCTCTCTATCCTATCCCACAATTCCCCTTTCAGCTCCCACCACCCTCCCGGTTTGCCCATTCGCTACAAAAGATCCATTTACCTCCCCACCCCACGGCCCTAGTTAAGCAGCAGGAAAGAACCAAAATAAAATAATGCGCTGCTGCTTCCAAAAAAAAAAACCACCTACGTCCCCCCATATTCCCCTCCTCCCTCTCTTAAATGCGCCCACACGCATAAATATCTTGCATAAAAATCAAATATTTTGACAACTTTCATATTCGTTTTGTAGAATTGAATCATATTCATAATAATCATTCCTCCTCTAACTTATATACCGTACGCATACATTATGCCCGGGCATAGTTCCATAACAGAAACAAACTCAATACACGGGGTCCGAAAGGCCACAAGTGGCCAACTCTTCAGGCAATTCTACCCTTTTGCCCCCGTGAATACATTTCGCATACACGTCGGTAATGGGATTATGATCCACTGCAATGTCCGCACGAGTTCTTTTTTTCCCCGAATCGGACGTATCAGAAAAGCGTACCAATATTTCAGAATTTTCAGTCGTGCCATCAGATTTATTCGGTGCCGTCAAGGCTTCCACGTGCGCCTCGCGGTCCTCACCAAGAAGTACCAAATGGAAACAGTTCCCCGTCATCGTGCAGCCTGAGAAAAAAGCCCTGCAACCGACACCCTCGTAAATCCCTCGAATACAATCGGAGATTGCCACGTTTCTCAGCTGCACCTCAGACTCAATGCCAAGGTACAGGCCGTCACGACCTCCAACAAGACGGCAGTTTCTTAGGTACACCCTGGAGTTCTGCGTCACTTCTATACACGGAAGAAGAGACGTGCAGTTCCAAGCTTTACCATCCACCTCATCCTCATCCGATACATTTTTCAAACCCAAAAAAGTAACATCGCACGCATCCAAAGTTGCATTGTGCGTTAAGCTTATACTTCCCTCGATTGTGGCATTGTTGCCCAAAATTGAAACGTGGGTGCGGGAAATCTTTATCGGGCCGCTCGTTTCCAACACATAATGATGGTTTTCAAGAAGAACAATACGGGATCCAGGTGTCCGCAGTGCCTTCTCCAGTTCAGCAGCAGTGGTTGTCAGAAACAAACCACCACCACCCATCATGTTTTTCTCCAACGCGGAGAGCTGAGCGGCATATCGCTTTCTGTCTACAAACTTCAGAAGCTCACAAACAATTTCACGCGCTTGTTCAAGCTGCTTCGTGACATCCGCCAACTCGTCACGTAGCCGCCTCTCGGTAGCTTTCTGGCGAGAGTCTACATCCACCGTCGGCGAAGTTTCACCCTCTCCATTGTTAACGGTCCGCTGGGATGCATGTCTCTTCATGGTGCTCGACGCTTGCAAATAAGTGGCAGCGCCCTTCCCAGCAACACATGGACTGACGCGGGACCATGCCTTACAAAAGAAAGACCGATGAAACACAAAAAAAGAACAAAAAGACTGCGTTCTATGCATCGTTCCCACCTTAAAGAATCCTTCCAATCGTAACGCTTCCTGTCTCTCTTTCCGTTATTATATTTTTTGTCGCGCTGAAGTGAAACTTCGTACTGCCGCACTCCCCCCAACGATTTTATGGCCCTTCAGGTGGCAGACAAAAAAAAAAGGAAGAAATAAATTTTAAAAAAAAGCAAAATAAAAAAAAAAAACAAGAAAAACTCATAAAAGAAGGCAGGACATCCCCACATGTGGACTTACGTTTGTGTTTTTGTGTGCTTGTGTCTTTGTCGGCCGTGCAGCCGGTACACAGCAAGAGTCACCATTGTAACCTGAGCAATTATGCATAATCTTCAACATCTAAACTCCCACTGACTGCCAAAACAAAAGGACGGGCAAACAAATATAAATATATATTTTTTTCTTTTGGTTTGAATGAGTAAACATTATTTTCCCTGGAAAAATTTATTATACAAACACACACAAACACACACACACACAAAAAAAAAAAGGTGCACGGATTTCCAAACAGTTAAAGCAATCGGGGGTTTTGCAACCACTAAAGGAATTAATAAGCGGAAACGAGAAAACAAAAACCCAACAGTTTGTGTAATTAGTAAAAAAAAACTACAAAAACAAA